GTGAAAAAAGAATAAGGTTTTATTTGTTTTTGTCAGTGGATGACCGTTTATATATTCAGTTTCAACCCAAACCAATCTGCATATAAGGGTGATGTCAGACATAAAGATAACAGCCTCCAGTGCAGAAGCTGAAGACTGCTGACATACTCAAAAATGACTAATTTTGTACATGTTAGAAAACCTAATGAACACTTTTCATTTACGATAACGTAGGGAAATTTCTATCAAACGTCAGAATGATACGATACATGTATGTTTATTTTTTTTATTTCTAAAGGTTTTGTGCGTCAAATATACTATTTGACTGTGTCTGTTGAACAGTTACCTACGTTTTTTAAATGTAATAGCCTTCTGCATGTACGGAGGGAGTCATGAAGTTTTTTAAGCATTGAATTCATATTTGTGAATGTCGTCGGTTTTATAAAATATGCTGACCGTGCCTAAAAACTGAATACCTCGATAGTTTATTTCGTTTATCTTTAATGTGGATTAAGCACCCTTCAGACTGATTTACTTTATAGACGTAAGATTTAAATAATAATAAATAAATGTGATTTAAATAAACCAGACAACATTGCGAGGAAATAAGTGAAAGATAAATCAAATTAATTTTAACCCACGTTTATTGTTTTTTATGTTACTTTAACAAGGTTATACCCTAATAAAATACTCTGTTTAAATATAGTGAACTATAGCTAAATATAGTGATTTATAGTGAAAACGAACACTTTAATTTACTATAGTGAACACTTTGACATTTTAATTTACGATAGTGAACAGGGACACTGATTTACTATAGTGAACACTTTCCCATTTTGATTTACTATAGTGAACACTGACAATTCGATTTACTTTAGTGAACACTTAAATTTATTATATTCACTGTGATTTAACTATGAAAACTTTGATTTACCATGGTGATCACTATGGCAAATGTGATTTACTATGGAAAAACATTGATTTACTACATGTATTATGATAATTTTGAAAATATAGTGATATCTTTGAAAACTTTGATTTATGTAGTGAACACTTTGACAGTATTATATTTAATGAACACTTTGAAAACTTTGTGATACTTGTAACTTTGACACCTTTAATTACTATAGTTTACTATATTTAGCTATAATCTATAGTTAACTAAAATATTTTTGGTTATGGTAGATTTCTTTAATTAAACTGAATCAAAACTATGTACAGTGTCCGTTATGGACATCACTGAGGAGAGAAATATGTCGAAATGGGCATGTGGTGCATCAAGGTAAGTTTGGACCGTACACACTTAAAATGAAAGATGCCACATGAAACAATCACTTATTTTCTTAAAGAAAATAGTTGAGAGGAGCGGCTATGCAACCACTTGAACTAAGAGGACTGATCAACCGAGAATTCATGTAGAAAGAAAAACTCTTCAATTTACCAGGTTGGTTTGCATTCGTGATTCATTAGTTATTATCAAATCAAATCAATCCACAGAGTCTGACAAATTTATTTCATACTTGGATATTTTACTTGAAAAGGGCCTTAATGGTAATCTAACAACCAAGCTATAATATAAACGTGATGACTTTAACTTTTCTATCGTCAGCTTCCCTTACTTATGCAGTAATATACCTTCATCTCCTGCATACGGAGTATATATATCTCAGTTGATTCGGTATGCAAAAGAGCATGCTCTACGTATGAACAATTTCTAAAACGAGGTAAATTATTGACAAGTAAGTTGATGACACAAGAATATCGGCAGTCTCGTTTAAAGTCATCGTTTTGTAAGTACTATGGTCGATACAATGACCTTGTCAGCAAATACAATTTATCATTGAGTCAAATGCTGACTAATGTTTTTCATACCAATTGTTAGTCCATTATTTGTTCACTGAATTGACTACGCTTTTTCCCGTTATTTCCTGATCATGACAAGGAGCACACTGTGGGTGTGACCGGTCGGCAGGGGATGTTTACTCCTCCATGGCACTTTATCCCACCTCTGATGTTTCGAAGGTCCGTTTCTGCTTTGCTCCTATTTTGTATTATTTTATGGACTTTGAGATTGAATGTAGCTCTTTATCTCCATATCCTTTTAAACGGTCAATTTATCATAAATGTATAACATTAAACATGTTAAAGAGTAGTCTTTCGAAAAAATACACTGTAGTTAGAATTGGTAAAATACTCGAATATTTGAATTTTTTCCCTAACAACGATCTCAGTATAAGCTTTAAATGCCTTTTAAAATTGGATGATAATGAAAAGAAATTTACAGTACTGTTAGCACAGCTGTCAGAAATAAAACATAAATATAGATTTCAATCAATTTGAATGAAGGGAAGTTTAAATGCATGTAACAATCACAATTAATTGTATTTCACTTCAACAGTAATACTTTTATGTCATGAAAATACATGTATGTATTGAACATCAATATACCCCCCCCCCCCCACTGTAAAAAAGAAAGAATGTATTTATGAAATATGATTTTATTAATTATTTATAACATAAAATCAGTCGAAACATTTTCATTATACATTTGATTATTATGGCCATTGTGTTGTAGTATACAAGGGTTGTAAGAAAAGTTCCCTGACACATTGATTTACGGAAAATCTATTGTGTACTTCGAAGTATGAGTAATGTCTGATTAAATAGTTTATTAGTATGTAAAAAAAAATCAGGGCCATTAACTGAAATATTACAAATTGACAACAATTTTTTCTATGCGGTCATAAGATTCACGGAGCAATTACCTGACGTTAAGTGACGTGACAGTCCGATGTCAACCCCCTTAAGCATTTCCAGAGTTCCAAATATCCTTTTTTTCGACTTTTCTTGTCTTTGTTCTTCTTAAAAAATATATGAATGGTGGTTTTTACAATAAAGGTTGTATTTGTATCTATTTTACATCTATTTATGTGCAATTCAGGTATAAATGTAAAATGCTTAAATAAGGTCTGACTCCAAACCATAGAGAATAAAAAGAAAAAAATCAGATACAACAAAAAAAAAAAAACAACAAAAAACTTCTGTACATTAATGATTTGCAATCTATGCGTCATTAAATTACCTAACATCAATTATCTTTATTTTTTTTTTTTTTGATTTAATTGTTTAATGTTGATAAATTTTTATTTGCTGTCGATCAGTATTTTTTCAAGAAGGGGAAAAGTCAGCATATAAAGTCTAGAAGACTAGATATACGACTAATTATTGATAATTTTCACGGAAAACAACAAGTGTTTCAATTTTCATGACAAGAGATTACAATTTTTATAAGACAAAAATAAGATAAAAGAAAATTTTAAGATCACAATATAGCATAACTATAACTGGTAATCTCCTATGTTCACTTTATTCTTAGAAGATAGGAGAATAGCAGGCTTTTAACAAACTTATATTTTCACAAATTAGGTAATGATTTATTATTCAAACTATGATTAATTTTTTCCTGACCTTCTGTTCTTAAGATGATGTTTTCCATCTTCACTCTAAGCTTTCAGCTTCGTATTTGGTTCATAATGTGGTTTAACGTAATCCTTTAACTTTATTCCAAAGGTAAATCAAAAACAATATCATACAACTTCATTTTATTCAAGAATACAAAAACACTGATAGTGCAGTATATACATGTTTACATGCATAAGCTGTATTTAGAAAAAAATGTCACTTTATTTGCTTTTCAGGAATGACAACAGTAATAAGATACAAGATCAAAGTCATTTTTATGATCGTTTTGAACTATTTCTCAGTTTAAGTAAGGCCCGCAGAAATATAGCTAAAAATTGTTGACACGACGTTCAATACCAATCAGTAAATCAATCAGACATTGAATGACAGGGCTTAATTTTTGCATACATGCAAATAACATGAAAAATACCAGCATTTCAATTTCCGTGTAATGACAAATAATTTTCCATTGCAAACAACAAACAAAATTTACAGACAGTTTTCATGAATGTTTACAATTCATAAACAAAGCCAAAAGTTATTAAGGACATTTTGTTGCTAAGATATGTTTAAAACATTTAAAATGACATGTGGTTATGATTTATACAACGCATAAAGAAAAGTAAGAAATATTAAACATTTATAACGTAAATAATTATGCATTGTATGGCCCAATTCTGGAAATAATATAAGTATATCTATGAATATTCATTTATTATATATTCTCTTGAAAACTGTCAAGTAAATTTGCACCAGCTTTTTACAAAATGAATCTCTTTAAATTGCTTAAATAAAACAAATCTGTAAATTATTATCATTTCACTATCATAAGTTTCCAAATACATTATAAGTAATACAATAAATACATCAATATCAATAAGTAATTTAAAACTACTTTTTAAAAAAGTAAAGTAATAAATGTGGAATATCCAATACATAACAAATATACATAACTTACTTCAAATCAGTAGATGTCTAAGTTTTCCATACGATCTTTTCATTATTTCCTGAATACAATGCATAATTATTTACGTTATAAATGTTTAATTTTTTAATATCTAAGGTAGGTTTGTTGGTTTCAGAACCACAAGGCTGTGAGAGCATTTCTTGCATACGATTCGGTTTCCTAAGCTGCGGTAACATGTTAATTATTAATTGAATACGCTACTATTATCTTTAAATAACATCAAGAAATGCTTTGTGGCCATTTTCGTCTTCAACATCCATTAAGTTGGGATACGTTTTCACCAAATACTTATACATTTCTATTTTCCTATTGATACAAAATTGACGTAATGCAGTTTTTCCGTCACCTCTAGCGATATTGATATCTAAGCCTTTATCTTAGAGGAACTTAAGTACTGTGAAATCACAAATTTTCGTGGGGGGTTGATTTTCGTTGTTTTCGTGGTATAACGAGACCACGGGTTCATGTCCACAAAATGTAAAATGTCACACACGCAAGTACTCATTATTTCTTGATCCACGAAATCAAATCCCCACTAACCAAGAAATTTTCCTAAAACCACGAAAATTTGACCCCACGAAAAAATTTGATTTTACAGTATTTGAATGTCACCATCCCAGGCTGCATCATGTAAGGTATTCTCACAATTATTGTCTGTGACATCAAGTAAAAAAGGATATGTGTTGACCAAGTATTTGCAATTGTCTATCTTATTGTTCAAACAACACAGATGTAGCACAGTTTTCCTGTCATTTCTAGTACTTTTGATATCTAAGCCTTTATCTAAGAGGAACTTAAGAATATCAATGTCACCACCCCAGGCTGCATCATGTAAGACATTCCAACCATCATTGTCAGTGCCATCGAGTAAACAAGGATATGTGCTGACCGAGTATTTACACATGTCTATTTGACCATTCATACAACATTGATGTAATACAGTCTTTCCGTCATTTGTCGTGCTTTTGATATCTAACTCTTTCTCTATGAGAAACATAACCAAATCAACATTACCACTCCAGGCTGCATCATGTAAAACATTCACACCATCATTGTCAGTGACATCGAGTAAAAAAAGGATATGTGTTGACCAAGTATTTACACATGTCTATTTGACCATTCATACAACATTGATGTAATACAGTTTCCCTGTCATTACTAGTACGTTTGATATCTAAGCCTTTCTCTGATAGGAATATAATTTGAATTTCTTTTTCATTGCTGTCTAATCTTTTATCTAACAGATACTTTAGCAATTCAATGTTTCCTCCTAAAGCAGATTTATGTAAGACACTTTTCCCACTAAAGTCTTTGAGAGTCAGTAAATATGGAAATCTTTCAATAAGGATCTTACTCATCTCAAATCTGCCATGAAGACAGGCACTGTGTAAAACAGTCTCGCCTGTCTGAGGTAGAATAGTCAGCCTTTGATTTTTTAAAATTTGAAACAATTTAACGTTGCCCCCAAAAGCAACCATATGCAAAATTGAACCAGTACTGAATAGGTTGTGTTCTTCATTTAACAGGTCAGGGTATTTACTTATAATGTACTTTGCCGTTTCAAGTTTTCCATTCTCACATGCACAATGTAAAATTGAGTCCCCTTTATCAGACTTAAGGTATGGATCACATTTATGGTCGGTTATAAGTGCTTTAAGGGCATCTGTTGCACCTGCAAAGGCAACAAAATGAATGGTAGAGTGGCCACGTTTATTTTTCATTTTGCTAAGAGCAGGGCATTTTTCCAATATAAAAGATATCAATTCTAGTCGCTCCCATAAACAAGATTCAGCTAATATAGAAACAGGATGATTGTTATAAATTGGGTGGCGAGATTCAAAAATCTCCAATAGATCAAGTCCCGAGTTGATTAAATTCACCACTAAATTTTTGTTCCCAGTTTGTATTGCACAAAAACAGGTTTTAGCGTCGGGAGTGATTCCTTCATCTAGTAGAATCTGAACAACATTTATATGATTCATTAAAGTAGCTTGATTCAATGCGTCATACCTTTGTTTGTTATTTGTTATGACTTTCAAAAGGATTTTAAACATTTCTATTTGACCTGCCTCTGCAAAATAAATTAGCAATGATGCACCACTCTCGTCAAATTTACTTAAAACATTTTGTTCTTGTTGTGCAAACTTTTTAAACCCAGAGCAAAATGCTTTGGATTTCCAGAAATGTAAACAGGAGATAATTTTGAATATTTCACTATTTCTTCCACCTCGGAGATTTTCAAGAATTTTTTTATACACTTCTTCAAAGAAACTTTCGTCTATTATTTGCAAGTTTGCTTTCTTCTCTTCATTTCCTTCTACATCAAGATTGATTAGTAATGACATGTGGCAATACTGAATAACGAATGAAACATCATATTTTATAAGGGTATTCTGAATTACTTTTTGAATGCAACTATGTGAAAACGTACACAATCCATTTTCTGCAACTAGAAAAGAACCCATTAAACCATCGATGCATTTGATGAACTCCGAAGATGTATGAGGAACTCTTTTGTCGTCAGGACATATATTCATGGCTTCTCTCTTTATCTGCATATCGAAGTTAATATTACGTAAAGAAGACATTGAAACTCTTCCATTTTTCGTTAGAACATAAACAAGAACTGAAAACTGGGGTTGTGATTTCCAATACATATTTTCGACATACTGACTTAAGCACTCCGAGGGGTTTTCAAAGAAATTTGGTCCTCTACTTTGTAATGTTTTGCTGTTTCCAAACAACTTACAATACTGCGGAAACCCTAAAGGGGGTGCACAACTTAATGCTGAGTAAAATTCATTTGTTTGAAATGGAATGTCGACATATAGATCAAAAATCTGTTTCATTTCTTCTTCTGTTAATTTGTTCGCAAAATCCGAGATATCAACTAAAGCACGTTCAATAAATTCCATTTTGAATTGCAGTTGAGTTCGAATTTCAGAATACATATCATTGCGAATCGTTACAATTAAAAAATTTCCCTTCTTGTCAATTTCATCCGACAAAACACTCTCCATAAAAATGGTTGTTGTTTCCCATTGTTCTATTTCGGAGCTCCTGAAATTAAATTCTCCGAAGATATTATCTACAAAAAATACAGTATCTTTGGTTTGATCATGTTTTCCACACAATTCCTTAAGACCCGTGACAACCTTCTCACGTTTTTCATAAGATGTTTTCAGTTCTTTCAAGAGATGTTTTGCTATTGTCGTTTTACCATCTCCTGGGTTTCCTTTTATAAAAACGTACTTCTTTTTTATTAAAACGTCTCTTGCTTTCTGGTACGCTCGAGTTTCTATAAAATCTTCACATGGATTGTCTTCCTCTACATTTCATTAAAAGCAAAGATAAAATAGAATTGAATGTTCTTTTTTCAGGTATTTTGCAAAAATGCATTATAATTAATTGATTGTTTGTGCAAACATAACATGGATATTCAATTACCTCTACTCTGATATATTTTAATTGCCTTATATATGAAAAATTTAAATGTTATATCTTGAAATTTTGTCTAATACATTTTTTTTTATTTTTGCAAGAAAATATACATATATCAGATACATTGTTTTAAAATCTTTCCAATAATAAACATCATTTTTAGCCGGGCTTATTGCTCAAACAGCAATTGCCGGCTTATGTGATCCTGTTCAAGACAGGATGTTTACCCCATAGTCGCCATTTTAAAGTTACGTGTAAAAATATAGTTCTTACTCTCAAGCTCTTTTGAAATAATACAAACGCTAAATAAAGCAACAAAAATAAAACGAATCTAAATAAATAAACATATTTAGTACCTTTGAAAAATTCAATCTTAAGTCAAAGAACATAGTTCATTAGTGTACGAATTTTTGATAATCAGTGTTACGTGTATCTTAGTTCTCTACACATACGAAAGAAGCAGGAGAGGGAACCAGACTGGTCTGTTTGTTTATTTTCAGTTGCGGTACCAGATTAATTCACATTCTGACAAAATCGGACCGTGGTATCAGGACCGACTTACTGTCAGTGTCTTATCAGTTATATTGATGGTTTTAAAATGATTTTTTTAATCAGAATTTTAAATCTGATATTTTTTTTATCTGTTAATACAATATAAACGTATGATTCATTAAGAAATTCATAATGATTCTGCTCTGTAAATGAGCCCGGCTCTCTGTACTTCTGAGTACTTTGATTCATATTGTACTAGCAAAGAATCACACCACTGTATAAAGACGTTCGCATCATTTATACAATAATTAATCTTTTTAATCCTACTTTAAATGATTATTTAAATAGGTATAAATATGAACAATAAAATGTCTTTCTTTGTTTGTTATTACTGGAATTAACGGTCGCAGCTATTGCAAAAACATTTTCATAACCCGCTTACGCGTTAAAATGCGTGACTGTTGGGGAGGGGATAAAAGATTTTATTTCAGATTAGGTCATGATCATGTGTTTGTATGCATAAATCATAAAATTGTAATTACAATGAAAACAATTCAAAAAATTTTTTTCAATTCATTAAAGTTTTGATAAAGTATTACTTTATCAGTAGTACAACGGAGTTCACATTATTTTTATATTGTGAATAGCATATATGCAAATAAAGAAAAAAGTAGCAGATATGTTTACTAATCAGAGAAGAATTTTCGCAGATATGCTTGACATAAAGATGACTCAAATTACCACTTTAGGTATATTTACCATTACAGCTTTAATTACTATAATTACTTACGGAGAAGACACGCCTGTACTGGATCCATATTGTCCTCCATGCTTGAATTCCTCTTGCGTCGAAATTTTATAAATAAGGCACACAACAGAATGACAATCAAAATGATTGGTAACATTACTCCTAATAAAATCGGTATATAGTCTAATGATGTTCGTTGTATGGAGGAAGACACATCTGTGCTACAGTACATGTAAAGATAAAAATATAAAAAGAAAAATTAAACATGAGAGAGAGAGAGAGAGAGAGAGAGAGAGAGACAGAGAGAGAGAGAGAGAGAGAGAGAGAGAGAGAGAGGGTTATTTACTTTTTTGCATTCCAACACGACTCCGCTGCTTCGTAGCAATGGTTTTGTTTATCAATAGCTAAACATTCCTGATCTAGTGAAACAACAAATGGTATTTTATTTTTCATGCTTAGTGTAAATAAACAATCCTTATCGAAAAAAAATTTGCATGCTGTGTTACATTATATAAATGGTGCCTGTTTTGGAGTGTAACAGTTGAAATTGACACCCAAAGGAAAACCATTGTCAACCGACACGTCAACATGGTTTTCCGAGGGATGTCAATTTCAACTGTTACCCTCTAAAACAGGCACCATTTATTTTATTATACTGAATGTCTTCTTAAATTAAGCCAGCAAAAAAAAAAAAAAAACAAAAAAAAAAAAAAATCGTCGATTATCTTTACGTTTACGTTTAGAAAGCTTTCAAACTCCTCGCTACTCCTAAAAAGATTTACTGACCTTTTTATTGTTTGTTTGATACTCTAAGAGTCTTTTATCATATAAAGTTTCGTTATTTCTGCACTTGGAAGCATGTTTCGTCTGTCGTTTGTTGTTTTGAAGTAAGCTTCATCGGACGCAAGCTTTTATTGATGTCAAGTTTATTCCAGTTCATTCAAACGCGCAACTGACGTTTTGAGAATTCTACGGTGAACCGTACGCGCATAATATTCACGCTTGTGGCATTACCGTTGTGTTACCCGTTGTCACATGCGTTGCTAAGGCTGAGGGTAATAGAACGGATTGTTAACTGCGTCTAAACCAATTAGATTTTAGTATTTAACATGAAAGTATAATAATAATTATCATTACATATAAAGTAAAATTGTTACATTCAAAATCAATAAATTATGCAGCTACAAAATTATACATACATTTGTATATTTCATTGCTGAAATATGGTCTTTCGGGACAACCATGGGTGAAGTCTGCGCACCTAACTTGATTGAGGTAGCCAGAATTAGTGAGGTATACACAGGTACCTTAAAGAGTGAATATATGCAACTGTATTTGCTGTAGTTGAATTATTATAACTGGTTATATGTATTTTATATCACGAGATGTACGTATGTAAATTGATGAATCGTTAAACAGATTCCTAACCTTTAACGTGTGTTCACTTTTCAGCGATGTATATTATACCTAATTTTGACGATATTGCATATTTGCGCGGAATAATCATCGGATGGTTACCCAAGAACCGCCATTGTTTAGATAACTTCTTTCAAAATAGCCCAATTTCCTTTCTTCGATAATAACACTCGACAGTGCTGTTTCTTTTATTTTGAACTTTCTTTTCAGATCAATTTAATACGCAGGTATGTTAAGGTTACATGTACAACCAAATATTCTACTTGCCTATAAGATATGAAGTTTTATTAAGCTATAATGACGTGCACTTTAGAGATAACAATTTCTTACAATCGATATCTAAGATTGATTAGAGGTCGTAAAAATGAATCGAAATACGCAGATGCAAAATATTACCGGACTCTTGTCGTTCGTTTCTGGGACTATGTATTGATCACAGGGGTTAAGTACCAAACCACGTCATAACTGTTGATCAGTATTTGCAGAGTGAAAGTGAAATGAGAATTCATGTAAACAAACACAAGAAATCGGAGTTTGAAAGGATTTGGTGAGAGATATAAAGATAAGGAACAGTATTTAATACCATAGTCCATAAAACAATACAAAATAGGAGCGGAGCAAACACCGACCTCCGAAACATCAGAGGTGGGATCAGGTGGGATCATGGAGGAGTAAGCATCGCTGAAGACCGGTCACACCCGCTTTGTGCTCCTTGTCATGACCGGGAAATACCGAAAAAATCCGTCGTCAATTCAGTGTATAAATAATGGACTATATAGCTAACAATTAGTATGAAAAACGTCAGTCAACATTTGACTCAATGATTAATTGTATTTGCTGACAAGGTCATTGTATCGACCATAGAACTTACGAGATAATTACTTTAAAGGAGACTGCTGATACACTTGTTACATCAACTTGCTTGTCAATAATTTACATCGTTCATACGTAGAGCATGCTCTTGCATATCGAATCAGATGAGATATATTCATTCCGTATGCAGGTGATGAAGGTATATTGCTGCATAAGTAGGGGAAGTTGACGATAGTATAGTAAAACCAGAGAGTGTGTTTACTTTGCCGATGTGATCAGAAAAGCTCATTTAAGTTTACAGCTCAAGTGAGGTAAGAGTAATAGACCTGAATGGAAAAATAAACAAAAACTTCTGTAAATGAAGTGAAACAATTGCAAATTGTAAGTTAAAAGTCATCGACGAAAAACATCTACAGGAAGATTTACTCAATATTTTGATATAATGTGTAGAATGATAATATCAATGAAATATGTCAATATTGTTCCTGAACAAACTTGCGCTCTATAAATTTTAAAGCTAAAATTGTTGAAATTTTGTCCATTTTGTCCTCTTTCGGAAAAAGGATATAAAATCGGACAAGTTTGTGACGTCATAAAAACAAAAATTGTGAATACACTGCCTTGACACTATAATATTTTTTGTTAATTTATATTAATAATTTATATTTTTTGTTAATTTATAATTAATAATTTATATTTATTTAATTTATATTAAGTTTTTAAAATTTGACTTTTGTGGGGGCAAATTTATACAATATACCGCATATAGTTCTTTATGGCAAGTCATCAGAAAAATAATGTAAATATAAGAAATGGATTTAATTTTTTGAAGATTCATGAGGTATATGAACTACAACGCTTCAAGGCGGCATATTTATCATAAAGCGCTTACGCGCTTCATGAAATATGCCGGCGTGAAGCGTCATAGTTCATAACCTCATGAATCTTCAAAAATTAAATTCATTTCTTAAATAAACAAGTCCGACTCTCTGTATTCGGAGTACTTTATAAGATAACATACCACTTTCATACAGCCCGATCTGTCTTGGGAAGCAGAACTCTATCAACGCTGTCGTCTGCTGGTTGGGTACACAGTGGTACGTATTCCTGCCGTTGACGTCAACAGGACAGCGTCGTGACGTTGAAGACGCGTTCCATGACATCCTGTCTCTTGGACATTGATCCACCATGGAGACAGGAAAAGGATATTGTAAAACTGACATATTTTCAGGAATCTATCGAAATAAACGAAACATATGTTATAAATTAATAATAGTTATCGCTTAATTTAGCAAAATATAACATCTTCTCTGAAAGAATTTTTGTGACTCGTGCCTCCTGCAGACCTTATTCACAAAGCATCCGTTAGATAACGGGTCCGTTAACGTCACCGCTAATGTTTCCGTAAAATTATTTGGTATTCTCGAAGCACCCGTTATTTAACTTTTAGAGCGGGTTGTATGGAGGGTCAAAAAGACCTTAAACTCAAATACATGACAGTGTAATTAAGTATACTATGTATCAAAAAAATCTGTTCAAAGATATCTACTCTTTTCAAAAAAATTATGATATCTTCCATTCTATATGTTGACACGCTTTATTTTAAAACTTGATTTCAATAATTAAAGAATTTGTGGAATTGACATGCGTAAAATGGAAATGTTGCTTTCTTTATTCAAATGAAAAAATGGCACATGTATCAAAAATTGCACCAATGCACCGAACATTGTAAAAGAGCAACCAGTTACATGAATTTATTGCATCTAATATTTTTTTTCTGAAGAATTGCTCTCTTCGGTTTAATTATGATACCATTCACTCAATTTGTGTGAGCAACATGTCATTTAATTTCTTCGAACAATAACCACGATCTAGTCAATTACATTCATGAGTCCAACGATGAAAATAAATCTATTGACTATTCCTTTCATTATATATTATGATGGTTGATAAGAATTGAATGCTAAGCAATTGTGAAGCAACAGAATAAAAATACAGTCAAATTTCGTTATCTCGAACTCTGTGGAACATAGAAAATACTTCGATATAACCAAAGATTCATTATAATCAGTCGGTTGCGCCAAAAACTATTGTTCCTCAAGGGGTTAATATGACGTCATTAAACATGTACAAAGTACGTCATATTGTTCTTTCTATTATGGCGTTATTACAAGCAATTTTAGAAGAAAATAAAATTCGAAGGAATAGGATCTTTAGGGATAGGCTAAATCCATTGGATGCGTATGACGACGCGGAAATTCTTTCCCGCTATCGAATGACAAGACAGTGTTTAATGGATGTCATTGACATTGTAAGAAAGGATGTGTCACATGAGACAAAAAGATCTCATGCCCTTACGCCTGAGGAACAAACTTTTGCTGCTTTGAGGTATTATGCAACTGGTTCTTTCCAGCAAGTGGTTGGGGACATTTTAGGACTCAGTCAACCCAGCGTTTCCAGAGCAGTGAAGAATGTTTCCAATGCACTGGCTAGTTTTGCGGGACAAGTTATTCAATTCCCGACGGATTGCCGAAAACTTCAAACTGTTAAAGAAGGTTTTATGGAGAAATTTGGATTTCCAAATGTAATCGGATGTGTGGACGGGTCATTTATTCCAATTAAGGCCCCATCATCACGCGAGGACGTGTATGTATGTCGCAAGGGTTTCCATGCGGTAAACGTACAAGGGATTTGCGACAGTCAGAAAAAATTTACAAATTTGCTCGTGAAATTCCCTGGCTCAGCGCACGATGCCTTCATCTGGAGTCAGTGTGGTGTACAATCGTTCCTTACCCGAAACACGCAGGTTGGATTTTTACTCGGAGATCAGGCCTATCCTCTGAGACCATATTTGCTTACTCCTTTATGAGATCCCCGCAACCCGGCAGAGGAGGCTTATAATAGGCAGCATCAAAAAACAAGGAAGGTGATTGAGGATACTTTTGGCAGATGGAAATGCAGATGGCTTATGCTGCATAAATTTGGTAGGTTACATTTTACTTAAAATATATATATATATATATATATATATATATATATATATATATATATATATATATATATATATATATATATATATATATATATATATATATATATATATATATATATATATATATATAACATGTTCAGTACAGAAATTTAAAGAAGCTGTCCGGGTTGATCAGTCACTAATTACACTAACGGTCTGTCGTATTTTTTAGCTTACAAGTCTAAAGGCGCCTAAAGTAACACAATGAGTCAAAATCATGTGTTTCTTTATGATATATGTAGCATACAGAGAAAAACTTTTCAATATTGCGAGTATATAGTTAAAATATGACAATTAAACTGCACCGTAAAGCAAGAAAAGACCGCACAATATAAGTGCCGGAAAAACAGAGGTTGTATCTACCGTTTCGTTGTTTTCGCGTATGCCAAGGTCACGACACTTTTATTTTTAACTCAAACTTGTAAACAACAATGAACTAGAGCATGCAAAGGCGAGAAATATATTCTTACAACTTTTTAAAAAGATTGCATTAAAAGTTTTGGTCTATTCCTACCCTACATTCATTCCTGAGTACTTGAGACCATGGTAACTATGGTGCTTTTCAACTTTTCTTCGCACGCGTACAAGAGGGAGGAAGAAGTAAAGAAATATTTTCAGGGCATACTGACATTTATTTTACTTTTATTTTTCTCCATAAAAATAAACCTAATACTAGTACTTTAAGAAATTGAACAAAGTTTACTCGAGTCATGCAAAAAAATTCTACGATTACTTTGTCAAATTTCCCCTTTGTGCGTTACGGTGTCTCTTTAACGAAATTTCGCGTGAAAAAAATAAGTATATATCCCAATTCAAATATGCTTATTTTGTAATTAAAAAAAAAAAAAAAAAAAAAAAAAAAACAAAAGAAAAAAAAACAAAACAAAACAAAACAAAAATAAAATCACGATTTTCTATTAATTTTTAATTAAGTTTGCAATAAGCACGTACAGTATCATTGTAAAAAATGTCCTTTTCCACGCATTCTCAATTTATAGTCACAAATCAATCTTGGGAAAAGTCAAAAAAATTTGTGAACTGAAATTAACACTTTTATACGTCATTTGAAACATGAAAGTGTATAGTTATTAAAAATCGCAATTTGGTTTACATACTTCATGCATTGTTTTGTTGGCCTCCTTCGAAATAAAAGCGGTTGGAGGGCTAATTTTACACCAAGATATTTACGTGATGTTGAAAAGCCATATTTGGAAACGAAAGACTTTTTTTAAAAATACAAAATTAATATAATACACATCTAATTTTGTTAGTTTAAACATTTATGAAACGTTTAAGCACATTTGTAAAATGGGTGTACAATCTTTGATTCAATTATTAGTAAAAATAAAACGGACATTATTTTCATTTAAATGAAATTAATTTCTTTTTATTTTAACAAGTTTTAGCACATTCGATGATAAGCTTAATAATGATAATATTCCCTAAAATGCTAGATTAATTGATTCTTTATTAATCTGCTCAGAGAAACGCACATTATTTAGAATATTAAAAGGTTGAATATTTCGCCATTATCTGATTACGAAGTGTTTGTTAAATATCACGTAAATATCGCACATAGATATCATACAAAAATAAAAGTATATTTGCGGGAAAAATGATTATATTATTTCAAATTATTGAATTTTATGAATTTTCTAATCTGTGTTCTTACAAGTGGTTGAATTGAAAATTCAAGTTATAAATGATTTTTCTATAGAGGACTCATGTAATTCATACCCCCCCTTCCACCATTTAATCTGTTGATTATTTTAAATGCAGTAATTCACATAGCATCGTTTTTGAAAGTGTATGTGTGTGTGTGGGGGGGGGGGGTAGCCAGAGAATTTTTTTTTACTTACTTGGAAAGTTGGCAAGGCAAAATAAAAGGGGGGCGGGGTGAGAAAACTTGCTCAAATTCGAAAATCCTAGAGGGGGGAGGCGAACTTTTTTTCAATGCCGACTACATTCAGTACCAATTATTACAATATATTTTCCCTACATCACTATTAGTGGGGGTGGGGGCAACCAGCCTTTCACTGAACATTTACTGAAGTTGAATTAAAGCTGAAGAAAAAGGGGGGGGGGGCAGGGGAGGGGCTGCCCCCCCCCCCCCCCCCTTGTTGCTACATACCAGAAATGCTTAATTGTTTGTGAAAACTTTATCGTCAAATCTCAAAAATAAAACAAAGATCCCCCATCACCCTTAAAAAGTTTGTCAATAATTACAGTTGCACATCACATGTGCTCTTTAGAGCAATATACATTCTACGTTGATATAACGTAAATTGAATTTTCAGTACCATTAAATCATAGACGCATACCTCCTAAGTCATATGTCTATGCAACAATGCAAATGGGAAAAATTAGAAAATTAGGTGCATAATTTATACATGTTAATAAATGTATTTCTTGCAAAGCAACGAAAATGGAGATGGATTCAATTTCATCCAGTATCTTGACACACAACACCCACAGCCGTCTTTCTTTTTTTACCCAATGTAGACCCCCCCCCCCACTGCATGCAACGCAGCGCCCATTTTCTGGAATTATATTTCCTAAAAAAATGATATATGTTTCTTCAAAATATTTAACTTGGTATACAATTCAAGTGTATATAAACATTTTTTACAGTTGACGATCACTATCAGTTCAAACAAACAGCAAAATACAGACTCGAAGAAAGTTTTGTTTCAGATTTATAATGATAACGTGCATTACACTTGAAACTATGCAATATTAACCAATTGCTCAAAATGGAAAGATTCAGTCATTAAACCAGGATTCTACTTGTGAATTATATTATGTCAATTCAATTTTCAAATCACACGGATGCACAAGATATTGAGTAAAAATGTTCACCTTTGCATGTGCACTTCCGTTTGCATTTCTGCACTCTTGTAACAGAAAAAAATGACATTTTAAGAAACAGTGTATATTTCTTCATGTTCTTAGTATTTACCTCATAAAGATTCACTCGCAAATCTGTTCAAACAGCTTTAGACATTAATACTTATTTACTTTAAAACCTGGTAACGTAAATATCGGTAACGTAAATATCGGTAACGTAAATATCTTTCTGAGATTTATCGTAACTTTTAATGCCATTGTTCAATTATTCCACTGTTAATTAAAGGCATATTCTAGTGCTTGAGTGTAAGGCAATTTGACCCAAAGGGAACAGTGTAGTTCTCTTATTTAATTTGTGAATAAATATTAACACGTAAATATCGTTGAATTTTTTAACCATTGGACTTATAAGAAAAGGGGGGCTATTGTTCATAAACACAGATAAACAGTGTCTTTTTTACCTTTCCATGCAATAGAAAGGGTGCTCATGATGTTAAAAAGTTACAACTTAGTCCTATTGAGTTAGTTCATCATTCCTTCCAGTCCTTTTGAATTTCCAAATAGAAAAGTAATGATTTTGCGGTGACATCGAAATTTGATAAATATATTAACATTTTTAAAAATCTCTGACACGCATATGTGTGAAGGGTGTGATATTCAGAAAATTTAACTCAAACGTAGGACAATCTTACTAAGAAAAAGATATGTTAATGATTTTAAAAATTCTTTTTGGTTTAAAAGAAAAACTACACGATGATCGGCGACAGTAACGTAAATATCGATTTCTGCTATAAAATGTGATTTTCTCCTAAGATAATCATTCAAGCTACAACAAACAATTGTTGTATTTTAATCAACAACCAACAAAGGTTCGTAAGACTGGCAGAAAATAAAATTTATTTGAAATATTATATTATTTAAAACGCGGTACATTATTTAAAGCGAATTGAGACTATAAATTGAGAATGCGTGTTTCAAAAAGGAAATTCAATGACAAACAACACATTAAATAAACATTGTAGTAAATAATGCACAGAAAGAGTTTTTTTTTTTTTTTTACCTCCGGTTGTATTCTAGTACTTTACTTATAGTCATTATATTCAAAACATAGGTGGTGCAATCACAGTTGAATTGACAACAGCTGTAAAGGCAATTATAAGCACTGGTGTCCTGCATAATATTTGCGAGAGTAAAGGTATACCTTTACCGGAGGTTTATCAGGTGGGAGCGGAGGACGAGGGCAGTGAGGACATCACCCCTACAGACAGAGGACAGGACGTGGTGGAGGGTGAAGCTGTTAGAGCCAGTCTCATCAGAGCACACTTTGTCTAAAGTGTTCTGGGTTTCTTTAACTCTTAAATTGCAAACATTTTTATTAATTTTACTTAATAAAGTGAATTTTACATTTTACTTAATAAAGTGAGTCTAAATGAAAATTGGTGCTTATACATGAATCTTGTCAAAGTGGAATACTAAGTATTAGTATTTTACACCCTATCCCCCTTCTTTCTCCCGAAGTATACATAATAAAGTCCTCCGTATACAAATATTGTTTTAAGAGGTTTATATACATGTATATGCAGAAGTTAACATTATTCTCAGACATATTTAATTTTTATGATTCTTAGTTAATCAGAAAATAATGCTATACACTGTTAAGTATAAACTTTGAAAACAGTACATTGCGTTTGAAATGAAACTTAATAAATGTAAATTTGAAATGCATCTGCAAGAATTCTTATTTAACTTCATCTAAATATCAACGCAACTAAAAATGAAAATAATGCATGTACGTAATTAATTTTGTTGTTACAATTTGAGTCATTTATTTAGGTTAATGAGGCATACAGGTAGCTGTAATCTTGGGGCATGTATTCCTGGGTCTGAGAATTGCCTTTACTAGTCTTGTTTGCCATGTCTTGAAGGATGTGGGATATCTTCCTCAGTTCCTGCAAGCGTTCTTTTTCTAGCAAATACCTATCTTCCTCGAGTTTCAATCTCTGCTTTTCTATCATTAGTCGCTCCTTCTCAATACTCAGAAGTTCTGAATGTGTGCTGAAAAAATTAATGCAAGCTTTCTAATGGATATGATGAATGATATACTTTAAATGAATACCAACAGAGGAATGATTAAGAGAAAGGGATTGAACATTCTAGCAGTGGTTCAGATACACCCCCTCCCCTTGTTGTCTTCGGAAATATTTTCCGATAAAGTTACATTATGACAAAAAAAAATACTTGAAGAAAATAATTAATTGATAAAATTCACCTCTCTTTCTCGCCTTTGTCAGCTGTAACACGGCGTCGATCACGATCCTTGACATTACTGCATCTGTTTGGTGTTGTTCTAGTGTCGTTACTCAGCTTACTAGTGTCTGGTAATGGGCTACTACATGTACCCTCACTACGTATTTCTCCCTGTTGCAATGCCTTCTCCACCTCGCCAGCCTCTGACCCCTATCATTATTTGTAAAACTATATGTACTATAACTAAAGAAGTTTTTTTTATCCAAATATCCATGGACGTAGCTTTGTTTTTTGAACAAAAAAGGAAGGGCAGCCAGAGAAAAAGAAGTTAAATTGTATTTCCTTTGTTTGATTATACTACCACAAAAAGGGGCAAGCGGACTTTCAATAAACATTTACCAATGGTAAAAAGTTGTGTTTTTTAATAAAGGGGAGGGGGCAGTCCTTTCCCCTGAGGTTTTGTGCCTGTTATTTTATACAGGGGTTATACGTGTATGTAAGATTTACAATAATAATTATTTTCAATCCTAGAGACAAATCAATTCATCTCGAACACTTGTCATTGTTTCGGGGAGCGATGGAGAAGGAAGGTCGATCTTGTGATGTTTAAATCATTTTGAATGTTAAAGGATCAAGATTACAGCATTATTAAAATTATCACCATGCCTTTTCAGTGAAAATAAAAAGAATGTTATCCTAAAAACAAAAGGACTATTTAGAATATATTCATGTCATCTACTTCAGCTTCAAGTTACGCTAATACGTATTAAGTCGAACCTCTTGAAGTTGCTGAAGCTCAAAACAATCCATTCCATCCGCCAATCCGTATACTCTTTCTTCACCAATAAGTGAGACCACCATTTCCTCCATTGGTGTAAGAGGATCCGCCTCATTCTGCCCCCCTCCAGTAACACTGCGGTCCTTTATCACAGGAAAAGACTTTATCATTAAATGAAGATAAGTGGAACATTTAAGTAAAATGTCAGTTATATACCATCAGTTTATTTGTTATATAGTAGTCAATTTTCATCATTTTTGATCATGCTGCAGTATTTTTATAAGTAAACTATTGGGATTCCTAATCATTTCGTGGTTGCGTTAGGGTCACTTATCAAACTGACATCTTTTAAATACGCTCACACAAATAGCTTAACGTCATATAAGGCATATTTTTGGTAAGTACAAACTAAAATTAAAAAAAGACCTTTTTTCTTTATTTAGGGCCGCTGGAATGAAAGTTTTAAGTCACCGTGGGTTTCTGCGGAGTTAAAACAATATACAAGTAACAGCTTTTCAAATAGCTTGCCTGACTAATGCCATAAATATTTAAAGAACCCATAAGCATGATAAGTTATAAACGTTTACATTGGTGGGAGGGGGGGAGGTAAATTGTTTCACTAGAATGAATTATGAAGATGTTGCACAAAACATCATGCATTCATTTAAATTTGTATGATACTCATCAGAGCAATGGAAAAAAACACGTTTTATATAAAACGTATATATTGTTTGTATCTCAAATAAAAAATGAAATCATGTACATGTCCCATTGTAGATTCGAACCCGCGACATAGAGATGAACAACTCTCTCCGCGAGTCTAAAAATGGTTTTAGAGGATGAAGTAAATAATGAAAAACTAATGTAATTGATTAATGCTGGAAAGTATGGTTATATGTAAAGGTTACATAAATTAGATTCAACAGAATACATGATAGGCTTTGGGGAAGACAGCTGAAAATATGATATACCTACAAAAAATTAAGAATCGTAACGGTTATGATCCAACAAACTTAACGGCGTTTTATAAATGGCGACAGCAGGCGCGGATTCATGAAGTTTTTCCCAGGGATGAGGAGTCGGTCCACATCAAAAATATTTGTACGAGCAAAAAAAAGTAATAAATCATCTAAATCCTAAATGTGAGAGGACACTTTCATAAGTCCGTATACTCTGTTTTTGTAGTGGGAAACCCCCCGGAGGGGGGGGGGTTATGATCATATGTATATTTGGCCAGTGCATTCTCTTAAGAGGTTTTTGTTCGTTTCGTTTTTTTTTTTTTACTTTTTTCCAAAGTTCGACCTTGATTCCGACAAAAAAAGAACATGAAGTTTTCACTTCCTTTCAATAGAATAGTCCAGGAAAAGGGCGCAAAAACTTACACGTGATATTTTGGCGCGATATGATTGTGTCACCCCTTGGATAGAAGACAAATGGACTAATCCAGTAGTATTGAAACACAGAAAAAAGGTCAAACGGATATGTCCGTATAAGAATTTTCATGAAATAAATAGCTGCTGGCAAAAAGCTAAAGGAAATAAATACATCATTGTTTTGTATCAGCAATATGGTTATTTTTCTGCTAACTGTTATTGCTGAAATGCATATTAACAAAATCCGATGATAAATTGTGACCTCTTATTAGTCTTATAGATTCGCATCTAGGAAATATTGATCCATAGTACTTAGTGCCTGACGCCGTGACGTCAGGCAATAAAAAATAAAATTAAAAAATATTTATTCACATAATAAAATATTAAAAAGAATGTCTAAATTAACACAATCGCACAATAACCAAAGAACTAGAATTTTTTTAAAACAATATGGTAAATATTTCATCCAATCCTGATTAACAAACTTTGACATGACTGAGGGGACAAGTGTTAGGCATAGTCGAAAGCAAAGACCGCGTTATATTTAAACAATTACACTTTCTCTATTTAAACAGGACTTGTACGTATTTATGATTTGTGCACATGTATAACTTATATAAAGTGATTATAAACATTTTCTACGGAGCATTTTCGAAAATATGGTAAATTGTTAAGTTATCAAAAGACAGATTTCTAACAGACGAGGATAAGGCGTGTTTTACAATGTGCCAAGAATTTTCCCGCTACATCTCAAAGAAACGGAAAGAGTAGAAATGGAGTGGCGGATATAAAGGGAGTTTGTATTTTGGTTTGTTTTTTTTTTACTTTTTTCTCTCCAAGATAGAGCTAGGAAACCCACATATATGTTGTGTTTTATTAAAGTAAAAACTCTATTTGTGGATAATTTTAGTTTTACTGCGTAAACATCAAACAATGAATTAGGTTGCGGCCGATTTTTGACGCTTGCGTCAATATGTTTCTTGTTTTGTCACATTATATAGATATAAAACTTTCCTGAAAATACACAATTTAAATCAATTGCGTTTCATAGTTAATAATATCAGAAATTTAAAACGTGCAATAGCCCATTTTTTCCGACTCGGCAATTTAAATATCAGACACAATTTAAAGTCTTTAACAATAGTAACGTGAATATATTTAAGTTCAAAATCAATGAAACTTTTTATTTAAATGTAAATAACAAATATGTAAATAAATCTCCTAAAATATTTTTTTTTAGTTCAGATACGCCAACCAAATCCGTTTCGGCGGAACAGCCCAGTTTTAACATAAAATTAGCGTATAACTCAGCAAATGAATATTGAAATCTAAATGTAATGCATTTAAATTAACGTACCTTTCTGACTTCTACAGCACGTTTCTTTGTTATTCTTTTCACATCGTCCCATTTTTTCTTAATCTCGTCCACTGTTCTTGGAACAAGTGATGAAGCGTTGACCGAGTTTTGAACCTCCGTCCAAGCTAATTTCTTTCTCTTGTTAGAAATCGTGTCACTAAATCTGGAGAACAGCATCTCCGATTTTTCATTCACTTTGTTTATCAGAACGTCGACCTCTCGGTCCAAGAATCTCGGTTTTCTTTTTCTTTCTTTTTCCATTTTCTACTAGGCCTATCTAACCCCCAAAGACGTCAAATTTTGGAAAAAATGACGTCAACGCACGTTGCTTGGCAACTTACGTCATAGTAAAAAAGGAGGAATGAATAAACAAATAACTTTTGTTTTTTTTTTTTAATTTGCTTATCAATTACACATTTTCAGATTATATTTAGTAAAACAACACTGTGACAAAACAATCGATTTATTCGACCAATGAGAGTTGCAGATACATAGAATTTGTCTTTGCGGACCCGTTATTACCGCACCCGTAAAGTGAACGTTAACGGAGACGTTTGTGAATACCACGTTAATTTTT